TTACTCGCAAGATGAAGCACCCTGAAAGGTCCTATGTATGGCGACTAAGGAGGCTGTCGAACACCGCCTGCGCGAAGGACGTGTGAGCACGTAGACAGCTTCTCAAACACGTACACTGGTGTTTTCTGCGAGCGAGGAACGGGTGGACGTAGCTCACGTTTCTGGTGAGCCAATCGACCAGCGTAACTTCTGTAGTCTGGTGGTGCTACCAGCTGTCCGGGCAAACGCAGCGTGCAACGGTAAAATAGCTGCACTGGTGTGGCGTCGAAATCGGTTTTAACAGTGACTCCTAATCCTAGGGGGACGAGGGAAAGTGTTTCTGACCATGAAGGATCTGCGTTCGCACGTAGCGCTGTCCTCCACTGGCGGTGAAAACGCTTCACCATGCTGTTAGCAGCCGGATGATACGCCGTCGTCTGGACGTGGCGATAGCTTAGATCCTTAAGCAAGGTGACAAATCTCGACGAAAAATGTGACGCTGGATCGGTGGTCACGATGGCGGGACAGCCGTATGAGCTACCCAACGCTACAGAAAAGCCTTCGCTACTGTTTCCGAAGAGCAGTTAGGTATGGGAAAGTATGGGAAATTAACTGAACAGGCTACTACGCAGTGTCGCCAGCTCAGTTTTCATATTTCTCTCACGGGATATGAATGCACGAGTACTTCGCCTGGTCTCTTCAATAACTCAGCTAGGTGGTAAGTATTGTCCTAAATGTTAACGGACAGACGACGGCGAGCCTATGCTGCAACTGTGTGCTTGTCATGGGTTGTTGCTTAGTTGCACCGATTTCAGTCCTAGTGAGCGCCGAAATGCCACCTGGCTTCCTCCTGTAGCTGACCAGTGCTAGATCCAAAGTTATCTCGTTGCTATACGTTCTAGGTCGCATGGTTTTATCCTGGATTGTCGCTCTTTCTGGGGTACTTACGTAGACTCTGCTCATGCCTTGATATGCCATCGTTTTTTCATGAACTTCACTAGAAGGCGCACCAAGCGTCCCTCAGGATTAGCAACTAAGAAATTATCTCAGCCCTCGGTTAGGCAAGTCTATCAGGATGCAATGCGCACCAAACTTTCGCTCTGTTATCCTAATGACAATGAGCGTCCGCCATGAATGACGCAGGAGCATTCGATTGTGGTCCTATCACTCGTCACCGCAGCAGGCATTGGTTATCTTAAAGGTGGGTAAATCTTTCGGAATGCAGAAAAACCCTTGCGGCTGGCTCTGAGCACAAAGTGACCAGACAGAATATTAGGCGCGAACTAAAGTGCTGCCTGAGTGTTGACAAGGAATCCTGGTGGACTAGTCGGACCCTAGAAATGGAGGCGGCGGGAGCAGTAGTCAGTTTTCGCAAGCTCTTCCAGTTGATCCGCGCGCCTGGTCCCAGGAAACCAGGCCTCAGTGAGACATTCAGAGACAGCGCGAGGGCTCTGGTACGCAATAAGCAACACCCTATGACTAGCTGGCCGGAACCCTTTCAAGATCAATTTATTTGTACCCTTGCCTCTGGACCTATTTAAACTCTGGTGTTGTAGGCGGAGCCATTGACGGTTAACTTAGTGATTCCATCGGAAGTTGTGGTCCGAATCGCAATCACTGCCCTCAGTCCTTTTCGTATGCTGGCCCGGATTTCCTCGCCTCTGTACTGTTTGGTGAATCAACCTTAGTTGATATTGTCAAGCGGGCTCATTATCATTCAATATGCACCTCAGCTAGAGGTAGAAAATACCTCAGCTAACGTACCGCAAAACATTCGAAATAAAAACAACAGGTGCACGCCATCTGAGCTACTAGTAATGGATAGTCATCCTTCCGGAAACCTCACAGTCGGGTACTGTGCAACAACGAGAATTCGGGAAGACCGAAGGGCGGCGACAGCTTGCCATAAATCCTAGCTCTACCCGAGCTACGTTCTTTTAAAGAAAGGATGATATTTGCTTATTTCCAGAGCAAAAAATCCTGAGTAGACCGTCCCAAAGTGCAGTTCTATGCACTGAATCGAATGCACCTTTTATATCAAGAAGCACGACAACAGTGGGCCACCAAGATATGTGGCGGTACTCCAACAACTGACGCAAAGTGAAGATGTTGTCGATGCAGCCTCGACCTAGAGGAAACCCAGCTTGCTCTTTACGAATCTGGCTTTCACGCGGGCAAGTAAGTACGTGAAGGAAGACAGAGGAAAGCGAATTGGAAACGATGGAGATCAGACTGATTCCTCTATGGATGCCACATTCCGAATGTGAGCACCCCTTGGAAATTGGGACTTTACAGGAGTGACTCCAGTCGGTTGGGACAGTTTCTTGCTCCCACAGTTTCACTAGTAACTCGTGTACATCCACATGAACAGGTCCCCCAAATTCGAATAGGGCTGGAGAAAGGACATCTGGTCCCGCGGCTTTACTGCACTTCAGTAGTCCGATCTCATATTCCACTTCTGAGCGACAGGGCGGATCTAAAGGGACAGCAAACGGAGCAGGGCGATAATTCGACAGCGAGAAATCTGACAATTCCGGCCAATTAAATTGCCCTCCAAAGTCTTCAGCACACTGCTTCATGTGTTTCGACAAGTTGTGGATAGGCTGTCCATTCTTCTCCCAAATTGTTTCATTAACAACAGGCTTCAAGCCGCCAGGTACCCCGTATCAGAAGGAATAACTTCCGATGATTACCAAGGGCAGTGGCCACTTCCATCTCTGATGCACGAAGAAACCAGAAACGATTCGTGTTTTCTTCAGGCTAGCAGGGAGTTCTGCCTGGAGATTTTTACGAGTCTCATTGCGTTCGCTTCAAGCCAGAACGTGCTGGTGAGCAATGATAAATTCCAGAGAGTGTGAAGAGACCCAATGCCAATTTTGGCTATTAGACATGCCACATGAAAATTTGCCTGTTGCTAGTAAGGTCTGGTAAACATGCGAACAGTGAGCATCAATTGTATCCACTGAGCGCTTATTCATCCCACATGTCAGCGTACTTCGGTACGTATTCAAAACAGCTGGCTTCGCCAGTTGGCTGGTGCCAATGCGCTTACAATGTCGTCGTAGGTGCCCGCCAAAACGAATCCGCAGGTCGGCACATACAAGTGCATGGTCGGTATCCACACATGTGCTCCAAATCGAGCGACAACTCTGGACGCAGTCTCTCCAGCGGAAACTGATCGCAACGTGATCCAGTTGCGTCTATAGCTGCTTTGAGGCTGGTGAGTGCCATGTCACTCTCTGGCGGATGCGGTGTCGGAAGTCAGTGCTCGAAAGAAATAAGCGGGCACCTTCACACAGGAAGTAACCGCAGGCCGTTATTATTACGGGAGTCTGCACCATATTGCACGCCCAGATGCAGTTCAGCAGGGGACAATTTCCCAAGTTGGGCGCTCAAATCTCCAGCCAGCACTACAGTAGCCGTGCTTCTTCTGGGGCGTAAGAACTCCTTGTTGGTGATAGAAGTCGTCATTTGCCGAATCATCGCACACAAGCGCTTGCTCACAGTAATCCAAGTAACTAACGACAACAGCCTTTGAGCTGAGAATAACGCCACTCCAGTTTGAACAGTGTCTCCATTTGCATGCAATCAATAGCGAGAGGACAATTCGGGCGCAGTTAGTCCAACATCGTGAGGATCATTGCTGCCAGTTTCGGACACGAAACACACGTCAATACCCAGTGCGTTTAACTTGCGTGCAAGTGCAGCCAGTTAATCTATTCGTCTTAAAGTGCGAACGTTGAACGTCACTAGGGAAACGGGACAGTGTGGCCTAATAAGGGATTGTTGCCGAAAAGCGGAAGCAAATGGATTCCCCCGACTTATTCGTTTCTACCGCTCGAATACTTTACACTTCACACGCGTCGACAAGCTGGAACTTGCCCCCTTAAATGCGCTGAATAACATACATAGTTTAAGCTACGTAAATAACAAACTTATCTCTTTACATCCCTAACAGCACTGTCACCGGCATTCACTGGAACGTGCCATACGATCGTCAGTGATAAAATAACAATTTGAAGAAAGAATCAACTTGCTGTTACCGATCCAGGAAATTGCAATGACTTCGCATGACATTAATGTGAGTGGAAATTGAAAACCGTGTCGACAATATATGTCGAATGAACGTACTATAGACCGCAGGAATGCGCAACTCAACTCTGTCTGGCGGATGTACAAACACGAGGAAGTGCATTATCTACCCAGCAATATGTGCCCATGATGGGTACAGGCGCTTGTTCAATGGAGAAAATAAATAAATATTTATTGTGTTGCACTGGGCAATCGCTCGGGTGGGAGTTGGTACAGGTAGGGTGGGTTAGGTGAAATAGAGACTGAGAAAGGAGAATGTGCAGTAAGAGTGGAATATCAAATAAGGTAGACGTCAGTGCTAGCGAGGTTGTGCTTATTCACTCCGCTGAATGTAGCAGGTAAGGCAACTATTTCTTCCGACCTATGCGACGACCGATGCAGCATGAAATTAGCAGTATTTATGTAATTCTTTAAGTATATGAACTAATATACTACCAGGTCGTCCACACCTGAACAGAAGAATGACGCGAGTCCTCAGCCAAAGCCTTTGATAAAATGGAATCCGCCGTGTCAGTCAATCGACTCAAGTGCATGTGAGTCCTACCACTTGGAAGAGTGTAACCTAACTCCCTCAAGCGATCCCCACGATGCGTCCAATAAATGAGTCCACGGTAGAACTATAGGCGCAACGGGTTAATGATCTGTCAGGATCGCGCCACCAAAAGCTTTAGCGAGCCACGGATCCTCCCATCGCATAAATACATAAATACCATGTTACTGATAAAATTGTAACGTTGTTGTATATTTTTTAACTATTCATGCTCGTATTACCATGAGTACGCCTATGCAAATGTACTTAAACATTGTCGAGAATAATCTATTCATTTGTATAAATGGGCTATCGTGCTGCAAACAGCCTAACAGCTCGCGAAGCGGTAACTCATTAGTAAGGTGGCTACATCGAGTTTTGTTTCCAAAAGAAGCCAAAATTACGCGATAAGTATAGGTTATGGTAGTGAGAAAACTTGACATCAGTTGATGAATAATGGGTAGGTGAGATAATAAGAAAATAGGTTTAACAGAAAAGTCCGCATAAGAAACACAGTTACAAGGGATGAATCAATTTCTGCATAAGTCACTGATGAGTGTATCGTCAGCGCTTAAAAGTGATACAATCAAATTCCGACATAACTGCAAACAAGAATCTTCCATCGGTGCTAATTGAGCGTAAACGTCGAGGGAGCGCTGACTTGGATTTGGATTTGAAGCCCGAAGAAGTGTAAGATCGTATTCGAAATGTACTCCACTTAGAATACTCCAGCCATCACCCAAACGGGAGACAATAATAGCGGCATCTGTGGAATTGGCGCTAGAAAAGTATGAAGAGAGACAGATATCTCACATCAGGTTAGGCTCTTAGCGAGTTAGCATAAGGGAAAGAAAACCGATAATGGTGTGACAGCCAATTTCATCATCAATCTACCCACTAGTCAAGGGTGGGAACCACCGCAGCTATTGGGTGGCAATCGTGTGGCAGTAGAGCTCGTGGTAACGCGCAGCTATGCAAGCTGTGCGCCAAATACACAGAAGTTTGAAATGACAATAATATCGGAAAATAAAACTGATACTAAGCTGTATCAAACTGAGGTTAGAAACGCAAACCAAACAAGAATAGGAACGTCGTGTGACACAGAAGGTTCTCAAGATATGCTTAACTTTGACTTGGCTTGCGACTGGGTAACACGTCGATGGAGTTCGATTTAAATAAATAAATAAATAGTTTATTCTCGACTATGCGAGGCACGCCCATGTAAGTCAGAAAGTTACGAGCGAGTTCTCGTATCATATCAACCTGGAATTAAGATAATGAAGCATGCACATAGAATACAAATTTGCGTGCAACTAACGTAACTATGTTTGTGAACCACCGAGTGAAGTACACGTAGCAAGAGAACTACGGGGTTTTCAGGTTGGACATATCCTTAAAGAACATCAACATACCTTCGGCGAAATTCTTCGCAATTGAGTTGGGGAACATAGCAAGCAACAATGGAACAATGGTATATTATGGGGAAAAAGCGGATGCTTAGCAAGTCCCGTAAAATGGCCAGAATGAGGACCACAATATGGTGATTAGAAAACAAGTGATAAAATGAAAATCGTTTTGGTAGACTCACCACAGTGTTCACACAGAAGCATACAGAATGAGCCAACCGCAGTTGTGTAGGTTAATTCTGTTTGTGCAAGTTTCGTCACATTATATCGTCTGCCAAGACACAGGCTATACCTCTTAGTGTAGGTGGGTTAGGGCAACGTCAAGGCAGTTTTAAACACAAGTAAATTGGGAGCGGAAACAACGTCAGTTGGGAGGGGGTTCCATGGCTTGCAGACACGAAGAGAGTAAAAGTCCCGTCGACATTCTAGCTGATTGTATTGTGTGGCTAACTTGAACTGGTGGCCCCCTCAAATTCGTGTTGTGGCTCAGTGGTAGTGGGTGATGGCAGACGTGGTTGGGGTTCCTTAGAATCTGGTAGGCCATAATAAGGTCCTACGTAGGCAGTGAAACCGGCCGCTGTATAATTTTAGGGTCCTCAACCTAAGTTGATGGGGAAGATTGAAAAACCCTTTGGATGTGCTTTGTGACTCGTTGCTGTGGAGTCTCGAGCGCAGCAAGGTCTTGCTTGTGCCAGGAATGCAGGGCCTGAATTGCGTATTCCACATGAGGCCGCAAGTATATGTTAAGCAACTGTGAACAGACAAGGATCAAACCACCCGTATGCCCTTCGCACCATGGCAACGTGTTGGTTTCAAGTCTTTGACGCCTTTGCATATTGTTCTGAGCAGCAATGATCAGTAACCCAAGGTCGCGTTTTTGGATGACTGCTTGCAGGACATGGTCTCCGAGTTTGTATGTGATGTTCGGCTGGTGGCGAATGTGAACCACCTTACAGTTCCTCGAAATGACCTCAAGCAGATTGTAGAGTGACCACACACGCCATGTCCAGGTCTCGCGGAAGTGTATCGTGATCTCCCGGGTCGAGATCGTCCGCCACATCTTAACATCAGTGAACAGCAAAAAAGCTGAGGCAACCAAACGCGTAACTTCGTTGATGAACACGAGAAACAGACGCGGCCCCAGAACTGATCCTGTGGAACTCCACATTCGATATCAATCGGCTCGGACAGCGCAATTCGAACTCTGACCTGTAGTTCCCGATCCTGCAGGAAACTCCTGATCCACCCAAGGACCGGATCCCCAACTCCATAGCTTTCGAGCCTGTGAAGCAGAACGTGGTTGTCCAGTAGGTCGAAGGCTTTGGAGTAGTCCAGGTAAATGACGTCTGTCCCTTTGCCTTTATCAGCCGCTTTGTCCAACTATTGCGTGCAATCAGTAGAATGGTAGTGCATGAACGGTGCTGGCGGAAACCGTGTTGCTCGGGTGCTATGAGATTGTGGTGTTCTAGATGGTCTACTAAATCCTGAGCGATGACTGCCTCTATCACGTTTGAGAGTACATGGAAGACCACTAGGCGATAATTGGCGGGTTCCAAACGACTACCGCTTTAGAAAATCAGAGTGATTATGCCATGTTACTACATGGTAGGCACAATTTGCTTTTACAAACACATGTGGAAGAAATGCGATAATGGCCCTACCAGCGTTGTTGCTGCTACGTTCAGCGTTCTTCGGTGTATGTCATCGATTCAGGGAGAATTGTAGGTGCGAAGCAAGGGCAGTTTCTTCAAAACAGATGTAGCAGTAAAATCGATGTTAGTGAGTGTTGAAGTTGGGGCTAGGGATATGGGTGTGTAACAGTGGCGGACGTATCGCTGGAAGGTTTGGGCATACTGCATCCGTAGGGCGTTGGCTGCATCTTCTGTGCCATTCTGACTGCCGTAATGAGTGGAGGGATACCGTGCTTCACTTTGCGAATGTTGTTAACTTGCTTATATAGGAATATTTTGCTGTTGGCAAATTTACAAGCCAAATGTTGTTGGTGAGTAAGTTTTTCCTCGAGGACAAGCATATTACAATGATTGCGCTGGGTCACGTAGTCGTTCCAGTTTTCTAGACTAGGACGAGCTCTAAGTGTGCCAAGTTGCATCCCTCGTTGACATGCGCTTGCAGATTCTACTTCTGATGGAAGATGAGGAATTAGTGGAGCGAACCCTCTTCCGTTCTGAAGCAGTTGCAATTAGATTGCCGAAGCGTCCAACAAACTGAAGCCAGGCCCTGTAAAGAGAGCCGCTTTTTGAGAATTTGCAATCGGTCTTCTCAACTTGGTCGTTCAGGATATTATAGTGTGTGACAGCACGTATTAGTTATGTGTTCCACAGGATATCCAACGTAACAAAGATAGTTATGAAGCATGGTGACATGATTGCTTAACCTCAGTTGGGTATTTAGAAATGGCTTGTCAGTTATGAGTACTTCATTTGTAAGAGGTCAAGTGCCTATGGCTTGTTATCAACTCTGTACTTGGCAGGTGAGGTGATGTGATTGTAGAGTGGAGTACTTGCGATAAGGTCTTGGATTCAGCCTTGTATGTTTCGCTTGGGGATGACGAGCTTTCCAAGTCGTGCACGTTGAAATCGACGGAGATAGGAATGTGGCTGTAAGATGGGAGTAAGCATTTCGTCAGTGATGATATTAGGCGGGAATCCATCTCTGGAGTGAACGATGGGCGTGATATACGAGTGCCACGAAGCAGTTGTCATTGTGTCTGAGACGCAAACGGCACCACAGCGAATCGGTGACCCGCGTCTCTGGGTCATCCAATGATTTGCATTGTAAGTCGTAGCGACAGCATAGGATAACCCCACCTCCACTGCTAAAACGATCATGTCGAAACAACGGCAGTCACCGAATCGCGATCTCGACATCCGTAACCTCTGAGTGTAACCAAGTCTCGGTTTTGAAGGTGAGAACCCAAACGTTTGTTACCTGGCGCAACGGAAGCTCGGCGATTTTACTGAGGAGACCTTGGACATTCGTGAAGATGCAGGAAAGTGTTTCGTTTCGCAGCAGCGACCCAAAAGATTTGAGGATAGGATGAGAGGTTGTGCCGAGCGTTGTTTGGTCGGCCGCTAGCCGCTTTTTGTGATATCATCTACGAATCACTTGGAGTTGGGTTCAGTGACATCGTAATTAGCTCCTCTGAAAACTCATTTTGCATAATGCATGGGAGTGATTACAGGATTGCAAAGGAAGGTCCTCAATTTCTTTAGACGCACTTCCGGTGTGAATTTCGGATGGGATCCCCACTTTGTTTGCCTGCTGCGCTGGTGCTGTAATTCGGACGACAGATTCGTTCGCTGCTCTGAACTCGAGCTCGGTTGGCAGTTTGTTCCGAAGTGACTGCCAGTGTTCCAGTAGCATAAAAGTTATCTGCCTAGTTTGTAACACAACTTTCAGCAACTATAGGCCACCCCATTTGTAGCTTGTTGATCTTGGCAGTGCCGACAGAGAAGTAGCTACAATATCATTTAAGAGCAGGGTCTCGCGAACATGGCGCCACTGCTACCGGTCGTGACCCTTTGCTTCGCATTCGTCGTGCTCATGAGACTGGGGGACGCTGTGGGTAAAAGCAGTTCTGGCCGCGGTGTTCAGTCGGAAATACCATACGCTCTGCTTTGCTTACTTGCGCTGGCTACATGAAACGTCTGGAAAGAGGCGGACCGAACCGAATTCTTTCTGGAGATGAAAAGTCGAAAGTGACATTGCTTTCACCTCATTGACAGAATTTACCAAAACCCGAAGAAGCCTGACTTAGCCATAGTGCTTGGAATTCGGGTAGCTGGTGATTCGTGTTAAACGCTTTGGAAGCAGCAAGGAATTCAGAGCGCCGAGTTTCCTGCCCATAAGCGCTACTGCTGGGGACAACTGATTTGGTATTTGGGGGTTCGGAGTTGATCTGTACAGTAGAAGGAAAACATCCAATATCTCTTGGGTAGTTCCTTCCCCCTCATCTTCAGCAACGTCTGTTTAAAGGTATCAACAAAGCGCTCAGCTTGCCCATTAGACTGCGGGTGGAACGGCGGCGAGAGTAAGTGTGTGATACCATACTGCGTAAAGTATTCGGCGAACTGAGGCCCATTGTCAGTAACCAGGGTCTCTGGTATTCCAAGTTACGCAAAACATCTTCTAAGTAAGCCAGTGGTTGCGCCACTTGTTATGCGTTCCATGCAGTACACTTCCTGCCACTTACTGAAGGAAGCAACATGACAACAAAATGACATACTGCTGTCCATTCACGGGACCAAAGAAATCCAGGTTTACTCGCTGCCACGGTTTCATTGACAACGGCAAAGAAGACAATTGCGCTTTCCTGGGCGCCTTGCTTATAAGCGCACATCTCGGACACGATTT